GGTTCAGGGATTTTGGGTTTAGGGTTTAGGGTTTAGGGTTTAGGGTTTTGGGTTTTGGGTTTAGGGTTTAGGGTTTGGGGTTTCGGGTTTAGGGTCTTGGGTTTAGGGTTTAGGGTTTCGGGTGTAAGGTTTAGGATTTGGGGTTTAGGGTTTAGGGTTATATCCAGCCTGCGGGTTCAGTATGGTTCTGAGTTCTGGGGTTTAGGGATTTCTGCTGAAGGTTCAGAGTTTAAGCTCGGGGCCGAGGGCTGTGGTTTTCAGAGACTAGGGTTTAGGATTTATAGGGTTTAGGGTTGAGGGCTTAAAGATCGCAAGCTGGCACTTACATAGCTTCGGTGGAGCACTAAGGAGAGGGGCTTACGCTGCATCCGCAACTCCCGACATTCCGCAACATCCTCTCAACCATGGATTCACGGCGGGCATAATAACCCCAAGCCCTATTGCTATCTAGCTAAGGAAAACGCAGCCTTGCGAATGTATATTCTAAAACCCAAACCCTGAAGACAAAAACAATTCAAGGAGAAGCCTTGCGAACGTCCGGCTGCTTCGCACGCAGGGCACGGACAAGGGGTGCCTGTGACAGCTACAGGCATCGATGCGGGAATTCAATCGAACTTCCGCTTTTGCCTTTAAAGGAACCCTTGAAGATCCCTTTCACGGAACGCCTGAAGTTCACCCTAAACCCCAAACCCTAAACCCCTTCAACGGAACCCCCTTGCAGATCCCTTTACAGGTGCCCTAAAAGGAAGCCGAAAAGGATCCCTTCAAGAGGCTTAGCGGCTAGGCTTTAGCGCTCCAGGCTTACGCAAGGGTTCCTGAACGAGGGTTATACGGGACACGCAAGGTTTAGGGTTTAGGGTTCCGGAGGATTCCAAAAGAGTTCTACATGGTCTTGGGCCGTGGGGAGCCGCAGGGAAATGGGACACAGGACGCATTACCTTTCCACTCGGCTCTCTAACTATGTTCTCCGGCCCCTGTCAGGGCAAATAGCAAAACAATAAACCCGCAACCCCAAAACGAACGTGGGCCCTGAGCTAACGAATCCCACCTTTTCTCAACCCACCCTATGCGCCCGAACGAATCCTAAACCCATCATCCTGATGAAGCCACGAGAAATGCTTTAAGGACAGTATAAATACCAAACCTTATTATTGACCTGAATATGGAATTCAGGGACCCTACCAAAAAAAAGGTCGGTTTTGGTAGGCCAAGGTAAATTCAAAACCGTATATATAAAACCCTGAACCGACCTTGCCAGTAGGACCACCGCCCGGCAGGCGATTCCTGGGCAGAAGCTGCCCCGCATGCTGAATCCCGCAACAAGGCCCGCCCACTTGGCTTTCTAAACGGGTCACGCAATGGTTTACCAGTTTTTGTTGCAGGGGATCCATAGTGTTGTATATTTGCTGTATATTTGACCCAGGGCTTGGGGCTTTGAGGGAAGCATCCGGGATTTCGGTTTTGCAGGCTTGGGAGTTAGGCAAGTACCCACCGGTCTTCCCCAAGGTTGCAACTTAAAGCCATGGGTTAAAGAGGAGGTGCCTGTCTGTCTACAAGTACCGCCTAACTAATACTACGAAGTACCACTGTGACAAGCACTCTGTAAATCTTGGTGGCGGATCCGCGACATCCCGAGAATTGTTTGGAATTCCTAGCAGTATGGAGAACAGAACACCCAGTTTGAGACTTCGAGCATAACCCATTCCTCTTGGACCCGTGTCGTAGGATTTCTATGATATAGGGGCCTAAAAATTACCTATATTATGTTCGGGTTTCCTTACTATAATTATATTTATGGCATAACATACCCCCAAACCCTATTCCAATTATTTAGGCGCCTATATTACTTCCTTAAGGGGGAGGGTTTATGGATCGGGGGAAATCTCGGTTAGGGCTTAGGGTTTAGGGTTTGGGGTTTAGGGTTTAGGGTTTAGGGCTTAGGGGCTTAGGGTTCAACCCAAAAGGTTTGTTGCACGCTGCAACATGGACTGAAGGTCTATGAACGGATACCTTCGCGTGGAATGTGTCGGACTTACTTGTTGGGGCTTAGAGGGTTTATACGGTCTCTCCCCTATAAACCCGAATAGTCTAAACCTGTAAACCCTAGGGTCATAATCAGATCCTATTCCCTGAAGCCTCTACCCTATTCCCTGAAGCCTCTACCCTAAACCCTAAAAAGTTGGAAACCGGATTAAGGACAAATAGTGCTAGGATTCCCTAAACATTACTCTTAAGGATTGAGGCTATTGGGTTTCCAACTGTTGGGCTTCTACTGTAGTTTTTTCCCAAGGTAGGTTCCTGAAAGGATCTTCGTGAGAAAACTCTGCTATAAACAAGCCCTAATATAGGGGCCTTAATAATTAGAATAGGGTTTTGGACTATATTGTACTCTAATTACAATTATAATAAGGAGCCCCAAACATGTATAGGTAATTATTGAGGCCCCCATATGAATCGTATCTTGTGGTGTGGCTCCAATTCCAGTGCTTATGACCACATGTAAGGCTACCCACCCTAAGGCCCCGAAGCCTACAGCCTTTCATTTGTGGGCACTGACTAGGACTTCGGAGTGGGAAACTGGAGCCACGAAGACCTAAACCACTCGAGCCTGACAACTCCGACACCTCATGGCCAAGTAGATCCGAAGCCGTGAACTCTACACCTCAAACCCTACACCCTCAACCCTCCAACCCAGATACTTCGGCATGTGGGTGGTGGTGGTGGATAAAGCACACGGCTGCCACCATCTTGGAAGTCAGAGCGAGCAAGGAGGAGCTCAGAAAACTGTTCGAATCAAGCAGTTCGGTCGGACAACCCTCTTCGAACCGCTTGCGCAAAGCGGCCGTCTTTTCCGGTGAAGCTTGACGGGCCACGATTCTTGCCAGCCATGGCCCTATGGCGACACGGCATGCCCGACAGCTCTGAATGAGCGCCTCCACCTCCTCCTGCTCCTCCTCACTGGACTCGCTGTCGCTGAGCACCTCGTCGCTGGGTTGCTGACAAGAGCTGGGCGAACGTAGTTGGCCACCGAAACAAACGGCGAACAACAAATGTTTCGACGGGCACACTTGCACAGGCGGGACTCGAAAGGATCCTGTCGCACTGCCCTTCATCATCTAGCCATCGCTCAAAGAGCACCCACCAAACAAGGGAGCCAAGGTAAACCCTAAACCCTAAACCCTAAACCCTAAGTAGAACCGTATCAAACCCGGCAAGCCTCCGGGTCTAACCCATGAAAAAGAAAACTACAAAGCAAGGCCCCAAACCCTAAACCCTAAAACCCAAACCCTAAACCCTAAACGTGAGACCCAAAATGACGCTGAACGTGCCGAGCCCTCGACTTCTGGGATGCAGGGCTATGTGCCTAGGGTTTAAGGTTTAAGGTTTAAGGTTTAGGGTTTACAGTTTGCAGTTTAGGGCTCAGGGTTTAGAGGTGGGATTCATTCAAGGATTCGGGTTTAGGGTTTAGGAGTTTTAGGGTTCCGGGTTATGATATTCGGTTCCGGGGTTGGGGGTTTGGGCCTAAACCCTAAACCCTAACCCAAAATTTAGGGTCTCTAAACCTCTGGCCCTGCAGGACTTCAAGTGTACCCTCAATAAAGCCGCCATGGTGGGGGTTTTGGGTTTAGGGGTTTAGGGTTTAGGGTCAGGGGTTTAGGGTTTTGGGTTGAGGGTTGAGGGGTTTAGGGTTCGGGGTTCGGGGTTTAGGGTTGGTTTAGGGTTTAGGGGGTCCCTAAACCCTAAACCCTAAACCCTAAACCGTTGTTAGTTTGGGGCCTAGGCACGGGTTGGGGTTCAGACGGCAAGTTCTGCTCCTAAGTCTCTACTTGCCCCCTAAACTCTAAACCTAATATAGGGGCCTTAGTAATTAGAATAGGGTTCTGGGTTCTATCATACCATAATTATAATAAGGAGCCCCCAGTATAGCATCGGTAATTTTTAGACCCCTATATTATCTTAGACCGAACCTCCAACCGCCTGAACTTAAACCCGAAACTAGAGGCAACTCAAGCACCTCGCTGAGGGGTCGGCAATCCCTCGCCACTCTCCTGAGTCGCGGGTGCCGCAGTGTTGCGAACCATTGCCTGGCAATCGCGAGCCCTAGACCCAGGGTTTAGGGTTTAGGG